AAAGCTTGTTTAAAGCCAGGGTTTCTGACTATCTATTTCATAATAATCGTCATTACAGCTGCAGCCGGAATAATATAACCTATATTTTTATATCAATCATTAAAAAAATAAGTTTTAACTATCTTACTGCTTGAGCCTGAGATTTTGAGTGCGCTGGATGCGTGTTAAACGGTACGCAAATAAAATATTTTCTCATAATTATTGTGAAAGAAATAAGTCCGTTGAGCGACGATATTCTCATTATTTTTATATCGTATTTCACATTTTAATTTGTTGATCACATTAATGGCGTTCGAATCGGAAGACCACCTGTGGTATTTTGTTTACATGTTTAAAATGTAGACACGTTGCTGTTCCTATATACACAACTCGAATAAACGAAGGAAATTTGTTTAAGAAGCACATTTCCCTTTCTTAGTGAACTCGGATTTAGTGTCTTTATGTCATATCCAAACAATCATCATGAAAACAATTTATAGGCCTAAAACATTAACGAAATAAATAATAGCCTATTCACGATAACAATAGCAATAAAACTATTTAAAACATTAAATATTTATTTAGAAATTTGGATTAGATCTAGTTTGGTTTTTTATTTTTATGTGATAAATAAAATATTGGTTTAAAGTCGTGTTTGAAGTAGCTATGTTAAGTTAGAAACTGGGCAACTAATAATTTGGTCATGAATATTAATTTATTGGCACGCACATTAAGACTAATGGTGGTGAGTCAGGATGATGTGATGCTGAACGGCTTGATATTCTGAGAAACAACGTACGTAAGTGGTGAATAATTATATTAGAAAACTCGTCCCATTTGGAGTTCAGATGGAGTTCACCGAATTAATTTCCATTCCATCCTAACATGTGCCGTTGCTGGGCAGTGTTGTACCCTGCATTATATATATTTTGCGTTTTCAGCTGCAGTTTGCAAAAAACAAATGTTATAAACTGTTAACATTTTTATTTTGCTTGTCAAAATTGTATAGGCCTATACAATTATATATTATATAAGCTATATTACTATTATTTGTATAGTTGATTAACTTATATTATATATAAGCATTTTAATATCTTAAATAAAATTGTTTAGGCTATATAATTAAAATTATAGAATTTATTTGTAAAAATGTGGATCGTGTGTTTTTGTCAGGATAGTATTTGTCGTTACCCTTCGAATAGATTGGGCTAACACACACACATAGAAAACACACAAATAGAAAAAAAGAAAGAAAGAAAGAAAAAAAAAACCTTAACGAACTTTTAATATTTTGTAAATTGTATATTCGTTGTGTAGTTTGTTCTTTTAGATTCACGTTGAACATCTATTTTAGTGTTGTGAATACAACTAAAGAATCGCTCTATTGAACTGATTTGTGGGTTATAAAGCCTTTTTGAATGACCCCCCTTTCTCGAGCCATTTTTCTTCAAAGTAATGACCTGGGCACAATTCAATATGAGCGAACACACTATGCATGCATTACTATAGAACTTTAGAGTGGGAGAGACCCAGAGAAGGGGTGAACCGGAGGTCAGCGCGTCTAACAAATATTAAAATGTACTGGGACTCGTGACACGCCTCGCTGTTTAACAAAGACTGCCAAAGTGCGAGATTAATATGAAAACTTGAGAGTCCACAACAAAATGCCTTATATCGCCCAATGGTATTGTAGAGCTCACAGCGGCTTGAGGCTAACGTGCATTTTATTTTTAGTTGTTTTAGGACAGAGAAGGCTGCGTTGTGTGGGGAAAGCCCCTTCTTGTTGCCAGCAAGATAAAGCCTCAAAACGGAAAATAGTTACGGCACGATGACTCCTGTTGTCGAAATTGGTGGCTTGGTGTTTTTTCTTCTTATTTTTGCTTTTCTGAGCTCTTGAGTCGGTTGAGGATTTTCTTGGATGTTCCAATTTCTGCTCGTCTGTTATCGTCGCGTGATGTTAAAGATGAGCTCGATGGGACCCGCGGAAATGAGAGGGAGTTGAGCACACAAAGGTATCACGGCGAGGTCACGGGCTAAACCTGTGGCTTTGGAGAAAGGAGTGAGGGGGGGTTTAGACGGAGGGACTCGCATAGGAACGGTTGAAACGGAAAGAAAGGGTTTGGAGCGGCGACAGTCCCCTGCAAAGAGCGTGTACCGCAAAGGAGAGGAGATACGGGCGAGAGACTACACAAATGCGAGGTGCGACTCTCAGAGTAAAAAAAGTAAGTAAAGAAAAAGGCGCTTCATTTGCATATCGCCGTGCTCTCTTCTGCAGGTGTTTGCTTGGGCGGACGCGGACCACGTGCTCGCGCACACTGTGGCGAGAGTACGGGTCCCCCCTCCTATCATAACGGAGTTATGACTTTGAATTCGAGCCCCACGGAGTTGCACTGTTGAGCGTGTGGGTTTTATATGGTGAATATTTACCTTGGCTATAGTCTCTGAGCCGCGGCTTTGAATGCCTGTCGGTGTACACATTAACCCCATAATGAGGCAGATGGCTCGAGGTCCCAATGGCTTTTAGAAGGAGATGGCTCACGGGGGTGAAGGCGAGGTCGGGGACTTCAGGGGGTGAAGGGGTTAGAGTGGACACCAAGGCTGAACTTTCTCCTTTGCTGTTAGAATAGATTTTCATCGCTAAAATGTGAAATAAGGTGTATATATTTTACATGCGAAATAAAAGCTGAGTCATTTAAGCGTAAAATTATTTTCATAGCTTCTACTGGACATGGATGCTAATGTGCTTCAGTGCAAGAAGTTCGGTACGATTAATATCAAGCAGCAATCAAAGTGAACTGAGAGAGAAGAAAAGAGTCAGGCAAGCTGAAAAAAGAGCTGAAAATGGCAGAGGCCCTTTTGAAAAATTGCCAGAGCTTTGACTGCCAAACGCTAGGGGTGCTACTTTATTTGAAATGATGCAAGTTTTTATGCACATTCTAGGCTATAACTGCTCAGTGAATGAAAAACGATTTTCCTTCATTCTAGAATATTTCGATACTATTCGATGTTATTTTGATACAATTCTTGAAACATTCATTTCGTGCATATCTGGAATCAAGTTAATAATAATTTAATACTATGTTTTTGCCTTTGTCACTTAAACCGCGGCAGAACAAAGACTCAAAACCAAACACCCTCCAGATTAAAGATTTGTAGATTTAGATTTCTTATAAATATAGACATTTGCTGAATTATAATTGTAGCTATCATAAAAAAAATAAAAGGACAAATACAATGTTAAATAGCCTATGTATTTAAATTAATATTTGGTAGGCTATAGCCTTTTATTTCAGCTCTCGTCGATAATATACGAAAATTATTCCAATTAATTGTGTTTCGGTTGTTGTTAATTTGATATATTTTGGCATGTGAAGCAGTTCGTCAGCCACAATACTACTTTTTTGCTGTTTACTCTAGTAGATTTTTCTTTTCGCTAAGCTATGAAATGTGGCAAACGAAATGTTTAATTGACGACACATACTGCTTGCTGCTCTAATAAATAAGCTAATGTCGATGATTTTAAATTACAAACATAATATTTAAATTTTAAACCGTTTTCATTTTTTTTCACTTTTACACTATATCCTCCGTTCTAACGGTAGAGTTAAATAAGGAAATCTTACCTTTTCTGCACAGATAAAAAAACATCCTGAAATAATTGGTGCATGCCCAAAACAAAAAGAAACTCCAAAGAATGAATTAGAAGTTCTTTATTTCAGAGCGTTTTTCATGAAATGATGGGCCGAGTGTTTGGGGAGAGAAACGCTTGTTTAAGGAGTCATAAAATGTATGGTGTCAGGGGGTTAAAGAACTATTGGTATTGTCCTGTGCATATTTTATTGTTTTATACCCTCTCACCTCTCTATTTATTCGCCGTTTGACTGGTGTTTGCCGGTAGCAAACAGAGCTGACCTGCCATAAAACCCACATGTTTTATTCCAGTGGCTACTCCAGCTTTCTTTTACCTTTATTTTGAGATCTGTCGTGGTCGCATTTACATTCTGGCCTGTACGCTCATTGACTCTAATGACCTTTTTTAAAAATTCAAGACTCTCGTGCATAGATTTCATATTGTTGTATTAGTCCCAGCCGCTTTATTATGCTTTATTCATTTTTTAACGGTCATTTAATTTTATTTTTCTTTCAGATTTTTAAACGTTTTTGACTGAAAATGTGCACATTAGACGAAAAGGTTGTGCGCTTCGACTGTTCAATATATATCGAAGAGACAAAGACTATAAGTTCGACGGTAGGAAATGTTGTTTCTGGGCCACAGATGGGGGGAAAGTCAATGTTACTTTCTTAAGCTGTGTGTTTAGCTGCTATCTATGGGAGAAATGTACTAAAAAACTCCAGTGTTTACCACAAACCATTAGCAAAGTTTATAAAAGAAGCACCGATCCATTAAGTGGCGAGACAGATTGCTGATATCCTTGGAGGCAGACTGTTCCAGGTGCAACAACTTGACACTGGGAAGGCGCTGTCAAGGTGGAAAGGCGCTGTCAAGGTGAGCAGGCTCTCTCAATACGTGTCAAGAAGATACCTGTCATCTATATATACCCTGTAGATCCGGATTTGTGTAAACAGACGCACAGTCACAAATTCGTATCTAGGGGAGTATGTAGTTGATGTATAGGCTACATTCAACTTCAACGGGCAAAGAAGATGACATTTTTAACTTTTGTTTAGTCATTGTTATTAATATTACGACTGTTTGGTACTGGAAATATTTTAGCAGGAACGAAAGTTTTTTTTTCTTAGCTACTATATTTTTCTGTAAATTGTGGTGTAGATTTAAAGGGCATTTATGATGTCACATATTAAGTGAGACTTAAAGAAATCGAAAAGAGCAAAAAAAAAAAAAAGTATAGAGTTTTGCACTGATTTATAACCATTTTAATGCCCTGTTTTAACATCACTATCAGTAAACAACGAGACATTTTTGCTGCTGGTGTTAATAGTGAACTGAGCACATAAATTACTATTCATTGTGTGTTTAGGCGTACAGGATAAACGCGCTGTTTGGAGTGGAATGACTGCAGACTACGTTTAAATGCAGAAGGTCTCCTTTGTGATTTAGGAGGCTTTGTAACCTGAATTAGTTGATGAATTTTCTATCGATCTTAAACAAGCCCAGATTCATCTCTGACACGCTGCTCACGCCACGACCATTCTCTCACCGTTATTAGCGAATGCATTTAAGACCTGGGCCAAAGCGATTTCCTTGCATCACTTTCCCCTGGTACCGCGTTTCACGAACAGCCAAAATTTAGCAGTATTTCAGTGCGCCACATCTGAACAGTTCTTTATAGAGGTGTAGTCATTTTCTCAATGTGCAGATGAACTGAGGAGGATTGGGGGCGTGACTTTCTCTGGGGCTGCTAGAATCCAGCATGCCTTTTCGCTGTGTCTGCTTTCGCTTGTTATTGTTTTGATTTACTCATTTTTTCATCAAGCGCACGGCAACGTATGAGAAAGTATGACATTTTGGACTATTTCGATATATGAGTTGATGAGCGCGATCCAAACTGACTAATCCCATTTCCTTATCCGGGAATCGCGAAGATCCATGCCATTGGCTGACGATGTCACATGGACCCTTAACTTTGTTCACTTGACAGAAAGTAGGAGGGTTCTACGAAACAGGAAAACGAGTAAAGGGATACATATAAATTTTAGTATATTTTGTGTGCAATTCAAAGAAATTAATGGCCATGAGTTCCTATTTGATCAACTCCAACTATGTGGACCCTAAGTTTCCACCCTGCGAGGAATATTCCCAGAGCGACTACCTACCCAGTCACTCTCCGGACTACTACAGCGCCCAGAGGCAAGACCCCTCGTTCCAGCATGAGCCGATCTACCACCAGCGGTCGGGCTGCGCCGACCCAGCCTACACATCGTGCCAGGGTCCGGGGCAGCCTGCCGCGGTCATCTCTCCACGAGGTCACGTTCTGCCCACAACCGCACTCTCAACCCCTCTCCCTGAACCAAGCCATCACTGCGACTCGGTAACTCCAAGCCCTCCGCCTGCCTGCGGTCAGACTCCTACCAGCCAAAACATTTCAACGGTCACCTCAAGGAAAGATCCCGTGGTGTACCCCTGGATGAAAAAAGTCCACGTAAACATCGGTAAGTGCAGCTAAACTTCTCTTACTAGTGCGTTTCCGTGCGCAGACAGCTCAGCCACTTTAGAAAGCCTTATGTCCGGCGTTAAATCTATTGCTCCCCTTATGAAGTTGCCCTTGGTCGAGATTTACGATCGTCTGTTTGCAGGGCAATATAATTACACCCTCCATAAATTTTTATTGCACTCCTTCTTTAAGCTCTTACGGTGTCTATGCAACTTTCTCGGTCTAATTTCTTGCCGAGAAGAGGTTTATGAGTTCTCATGTAATCCATAAGTTAAGTTTTATGTTTTAGTAATTTGATTTTAAGTGACTGGACGGATTAATGTGTACTTTACACTGCCACTTCATAATTGTTAGTATGAAAATACTTATAAGAGCTAAAATATTCATAGTTATGATGACGATAATAAAACATTAATGGTAATACAAACAGCCGAACTCTTTTATGAACTATTATTCCGCGATAATTAGTGCATGTACTCAGAGCTGCCATGGTGTGCGCTGAAAAGGGGGCAAACGCAAAATCACGGGTTAACACTAGTCGCCCATAGCCAACTATTATGCTGTTCCCTTGTAGTTTTTTTGCTGAATATGTATTTCTTTTAAGGATTTCTTATGTAAAAAATGCAATAACTCTATTGTTGTATTTTGTGCTGCTTTATTGACTTTGAATTTGAGTCATGAAGTCTGGAATTTAATGTTACTGTCCCGACCCTTATTCAGTTGCTTATTCTAAATACAATATAATGACCACTTTTTTGTTCTTGTTTACCATATTGCAAAATAGGATATTTTAACAGTCATATAGTACACGAGCGGAATTTCTTCAAGTTATAAAAATGATACTACACTATATTATTGTAGTATGTGTGTGTGTGTGTGTGTGCGTGTGTGTGTCGGTGTGTGTCTGTGTGTGTGTTTGTGTATGCATGCTATTTTGGAGTGTACACTATGTACATGTGAGTGTGTATGGGGCTGTGCGCGCGCCAGTGTTATACTTTTTTGTAACGTGTCGCTCTCTGTATCCCAACAGTGAGCCCGAACTATTCAGGGGGTGAACCAAAGCGCTCACGAACAGCGTACACGCGGCAGCAAGTCCTGGAATTGGAGAAAGAGTTCCATTACAACCGCTATCTGACCCGCAGACGGAGGGTGGAGATTGCCCATACACTGTGCCTATCCGAACGACAGATTAAGATTTGGTTTCAGAACCGGCGAATGAAGTGGAAGAAGGACCATAAGCTTCCCAACACCAAAATACGCAGCAACTCTGCCAACACTAATCCAAGCGGCGGCCCGACATTGGGCAGCAATCAGAACCGAGCTAGTGGACCTCCGTCAAGTCTATAGCCCTCCACTGTTGCCCAAAACACGTACAATTATAAAATCTAATTTTATGGTGTGTAGAACGTGGATTTTACCCGCGTTGTGTCTCCTGACTCTCCCCTGCACTCTTAATTACAAGGATAAAATACGAGGAAGATGTGGGGGAAAGGAGCAAAGAACATGTTCATTTTTTAAACACTAAAAATGGGTGAAGAGACTGAAGACTCGAACTCAAATGCTACTATAGATGGGCTGCCTTCCCAGTCTGGTTCCCATTTTTATCCTGCACGCCTTTCCTGCTCACTCGCCCCTTCCATAAGCACAGAAGGCGGCAGATAGTTTTCAGATTGGGTGAAGATGGATCCGTGTTTCATCTTTAATCACGCCAAACTCGGCCCCATTTGTCATGTTTACTCTGTGGTACAAAGGATGAACACCGTAGGCCTGCCCATTACCTCGACGTCTAGCGTTGTGCTTAATAAATGAGTCGCTCTGTTTTGTCAAGAAGCCTTTTCTAACTCCCTTTATTCCCCTGGCTTAAAAATAACTAGCCGAGTGTTTTTCAACTGATATGAAGTTTTGTATTTTGTAGCAATTAGGTTATTTTGCATTTGCTATTTGCATTTCGAATGCAATGCCAATGGGACTGAGGGTTTTTGTGCGTGTGGTCCATTTGTCGCTCACTACAAATACAGGGACTTCTTTCACTCGCCTGTTTAGCGCATTTCAGTTTAAGAACAGAAAATTACTAATTAGTTGTTAGTAGTTTTAAATATAATATAAAGGTTCAATGAAGTTGGATGGATAGATATGTATAACCAAAACCGGTACAACGCAAAGCATTTTAATAAGAGCACTGCTAAGTACTATTTAAATTACCTCAATTGTATTTTTTGTCCAGTTTTATGAAGTGATCAGATTAAGTTCTTTTGACTTAATGGCAAATATCTGCGATAGCTAATCTCAGCATTTGTTTGTAAGTTTAAATGAAAATTAAGTTAAGTGTGACCAGGGTTGTATAGATAAAAGGTGCGTATATTGCATGAAAAAATACACTATATTTTTGTTTATTCTTTTTTATGTCATTATACCACCCTCTTTTTGTTTTATGGTAGACATGCGCACATACTTTTTTTCTTTCTTTCTTTCTTTCTTTCTTTCTTTCTTTCTTTCTTTCTTTCTTTCTTTCTTTCTTTCTTTCTTTCTTTTTCTTTCTTTCTTTCTTTCTTTCTTTCTTTCTTTCTTTCTTTCTTTCTTTCTTTCTATTATATATTTTTTTTACATTCCAAAGATCAGTTTTCTGATGAATTGTACATTTCCCCTCTTACATGTTTGCATTTTGTCTTCTTTCTGCCTGTACCTTTCACTGTTTACCTTTGTTACATGTAAATATCTCTAGAAATTTAATAAATGGCGGAAAAGTACAATCTTTCTTTATGTGTCATGTCTTTTTGTGTATGTGTATTTTAAAGCCAGATATGCTTCTTTTGAATGCATATTTATTATATAGGTGGATACCATCGTCCATTGTGTTTTACTAAAAACAAAATTTAATTTTATTTGGCTTGCCATTGTGCATTTTCGTTAGCCTTGTAGCGCTCGCCTGTCTTGAAGATCTCTGCATATCTCTCTGGTGATTTATATCGCTGCATTGCGAGTAATCCTGGTACATTACGCCTTGTAATCTTATTCTAAATCACAAAACCCTTCCTTTCTGTCTCGCTTCTCCTTAATTTAACGGTGCACAAACCCTCTGCTCAACGACGCCGTGAATGCGCCTAAAAATATGGATCCATGTTAGAAAAAAAGCAGAAGTTAAATAGTTTCTCGGCTCGTGGGCTTTTAATGCTTTAATGAGTGTAATTCTTGCACAACAGTTTCGCGACTGTTTGCCAGCGCAAGCTGTGTGTTTTTTATATTACAAAGGAGCGGGTCGGTGCCATAGCTCAAACCCTGACAACCAAATAGATAATCAAGAAGACAAATGGCTTCTTTTGGAAGGCGCAGCCCTTGTATTAATTTTCATTTTCTTTTCTCAGAGCAGGTATTGAAAATATAGAGCCGGAGAAAATAACATTCCGTTTGCTGGCGTTGAACTTTACACAAAAGTATGGCCTTAAATTGGTCTGCTAGCATTCCGTGGCACCGTGAAGATTTTCTATTACTTGCTTGTTGATATCAGAGAGGCCTTTTCGCCACACAGCCCGCTAAAGCCATTTGTCTGTTTTCTCCCTCTTATTTATGAAATGCTGTCTGGACATAACATCAAACACTTCAAAAAGTAAAAATGTGAGGCAGTAAAACCATATCAGGTCCACTCTAATAAAAAATGTTAAATGTGAACACTTTTCTTCAATTTATTGAGAGCTAATATAGTGGCATAAATATTTAGCACAGTTAAATAAAGCTGATATAGCCTATACAATGATTTTGTGATTTAGACTCAACTCGTATTTCCAAAGTGAGATGTATTTTTAAAAGCGTCTCTCTTCAAATGGAGGCATTTGCGTGTGGCATCTGTATAGACCTTGGAATTCTATTGTTGTCACACATATTTTATTTATTTTTTTTAGAGAATAAAAAAACCTTTCTACCACAGTGGTTTGAATAGGAGTGAACAGATTTCTTTTGAGGGCCTCAAAAGTTCACCGCTATTATTTGCAGACAGAAGCCTAAAGAAAAATGTGAGAATTATACAGAAAAATCATTAATCACCGCTTCTCTTTAAACAAGTCTTCTCTCCTATTGTCATTCGGCAGCACAACTGCTCGGACCTTCTGCTAGGAGGGGAGTGAAATCTTGAAGGGCACTTGAAGACACCCCCCCCCCTCCCTTCTCTACCATCTTCTATTCACCAAGTCATGCCACAAGAAAACTTTTTTGGCGAGGGATGTCCCATGAAGAATCTCTTGAAAATGTTAGCGCGAGAGAGAATCTTCACAGGACGAGAGATGGCAGCGTTCAAGGTACAGCACTTTTGTTTTATTTGAGTTTTATTGCTTTATGGCCTTCTCACAGTTGGGTAGCAGAAGCACATTTGTTGTGTTGTGCCACGGATGGATTTTATGGCTGCTTTGACAGTAAGGGTAGCATTTGGGAACCGGCTGTCGTGTGTTTGCGATAACTTGTAGGTGTGTGCTATCACAACTAAAGTCGTAGCATGTTTTCCTTTTCGCTTCTGAGCAACACATCTGTAGAAATGTTAAATAGTGTATTTGTGGGTGTTGGTCCTGAAGTGGTATCGAGAAGAAGAAAGGAAAAAAATCGAATGCAAGTCAGCGTCTGTTTGTCCGCTCATGTGCGCGTGAACGCGCACGTGTCTCTCATCAACACTGTGAATATGCATGAGTTGCATTGTACCATATATACATGTGAGCAATATCTGGATATGCAATAGATAACCCCCATCTGTTAAGAGGATATGTTGCCCAAGTGGCTATTGTAATGGTACTTTATTTCTTTTGCATATCATATTGTTTGTGCGCGCATGTGTTTCCACACCTTAAAACGACTTTTTATTTCATCACAGAGATTGGGTGGCCACAGGTGCAAAGTGCCGGTCTCGAAAATAAACGATTCGATGCTCTGTTGGTCAGACAGGAATGAAAAGCATAAGAGAACGTCTCGAGAGCAACTATTTGCCTAAAACAAACGACTTGTAGCAAATTGCTTCAATTGCATGTTGTGTGCTTAGATGAGCATGGGCGCTCTGATACTGGCTCACCGCCATTTAACCCCTGCAAATCAATCTATTGTGCGCATTGGAGAAAAGGCCAGTGGTTCTGGTTTACGGCTTTCGCCTCCCTCCGCGGACCTGTGTGGCATGAAGCGTGGCAAAAAAGACAAAAATATAGTAACCGATATTGAAGGAAGTTGAGGGATGACAAAAAAAATCGATTCTTGCAGCAGGCAAGCAGAATGGCAGCAATGGGTTCAACTAGAGGACACGGTTTTTCTGACCGATTAGGTCTGTTGCGAAGGCTCAGACTGACCCTTCTGAAACCCTTGACCCGGCGCGGACAGGACAGCGCTACGTGTATGGTCAACAAAGCCATAGGGCGAGTTTGTCATAACAGCGCGGCCGGGGCACTGTAACCCGAGGGCACCGTGCTATCTCTTCCCTCAGACAGTCTAGTAAACTATCGGGGGCCCTTAAAACAACAGCAGTCGTGGCCTTGCAAAGAGCCATCCTTAAACATCTCTCCCATCTCAAGAACCGCTTGAGAAAGGCCCTAATAGTCACCATGCGTGTCAAGACCTGCAGAATACACACGGCGAGATTACTTTACGATTTCCTTTATATGTATTTCAGTAGCTGTAACACTGTGAGGGAGGCCAAGAGGGCCTTCCGCCTTAGAAATATGATGGCTATTTTGTGTGACAACGCCTCGCATTGTATCATGCAAGCCCCCTCCTTCTGCTCTCCTTGTTCTGGTCTCCACTCCCTCCTTCAAGGTTTGTTGGAAAGCTCGCGACTTGGCCTTGTAACGCTGATGTGATGGTGTGGTGCCTGTTTTAGCTCACGCCGCTAATTGCTAAACAAATAGCCCTCGTGCATTGCTGAATTATTATTCTGAAAAGCCGCGGAGCGGAGGTCAGCACCGCATAGTCACAGAGATATATGGCCCGCGCGCGCCAGCTTAGTGGGCCTGGGCTGAGAGCCGGTGTGCGTGCGCGCGCGCGTGTGTGTGTGTGTGTGTGTGTGTGTGTGTGTGTGTGTGTGTTTTAAAGAGACACATATTAAGTAAGGCAAATCACCATTGTTAACACTGCCAGCTAAACGCAACCCCTCCCTTTTCCACCGCATTACTAATCTACTATTTCATCAATATTACTGTAATAATACCCAGCTCTACACATGGGCTATTACAACTATTCAGAAAATATGTTTAATCTCTTGTTTTGAAACATGCAGATTACGCGTGCATTTATTTCGTTAACTCTCCGTATCTCTCCAACTGGGCTTCTCTTCATTTGATATTAATATTTAACTAACTGAATGGTTGCTGCGATCCATTATTTCCTGAGATAGCGAAGAGTAACGAGTTTGCTCACTAAAGAGGAATATTCAGGTGCTTTATTTGTTACTCTTGGCTTCTGAAAACGTGACATCATGCAATGTGCAACTAACACTATACCGCACATGCAGCAGCGATTCCTTCCAGATACAGTTATAACAATTAAGTTGTCCGATAACACGTGAAAATATAAAATATTGTTAATGAAAATAATAATTATTGTAATAATAATAACGCTTCATTTAATACTTTATATGGGTTAACCTAATTTAATTAATTGTATTGTCCAGGTTGCAGAAAAAACAAAAACAAAAAAAACTGACCCATGGAAATTGCACATAGTGACCTCAACAAGCGACTCTCCTGCGAGTCTCCCTATCAAAAAATAAATAAATATTTTTTAAAGGCACTATGCGTTCTGCCGCTTTTGACAGATTTACAGTCCCCAATAAAAGAGGCTATGCTCAGTGCCGTAAATCAATCTCCGCCGCTCTGTGTAAACCTAGCCTTTAGCCAAACGCTCTGTTTACTTAAGCGACTGAAAAATCTGGAATATTCATTGACTGATTTATTTTTATATATGTCTCTCTCCCCTTTCTATATCTAATGTTGTTCTAATAACAATAATAATAATGAAACCAGTTGTTTTATTATCATTATTGTTGATCTTGATGATACACATTTAGTAAACATTAGTAACATCTAAGGTTAATGTATTACTTGTAGTTGTTAAAAGCTACACAGTTTTTTAATTATGATGTAATTTTAATGCAGGCTAATTTCAATTACATTTTTAAACATTTAATTTATAAAATTGTTTTTTTTAACAGTTATTTCGTTTTATTTTTTGATGATTAAAATTAAATGTAGGCTACTAATAAAAAAATTAACTCTAATCATTGCCTCTTAAACATTTAAAGACTTTAGAATGATTTCTATTATTTATTTACAAGTAAATACTAAAATATAGATCCAATAAAATGACTATCGTATATATATATATATATATATATACCTGAAAGATGTATAGTGAATCATTTGTAACAAAGTCCCATAATTCAAAAGCATTGCACGTGTGCAATCGTTATCCATTTTTGAATCACACAATTTCCTTTCATTCTTTCAAAGCA